AAAAAAAAAAAAAAAAAAAAAAACACATCTTAGTAAAACCAATACCTTCTCAGCTTCGCATTGAATCTAATAATAATCTGCTAAATTTACTGTAGTATATACACATTCATTATTTCGACGACTGAAACTGTGTCAACTAATTCTATTAAAAACAATTAAAAAATTTTATTTTGTGATTTTTTTAAAAGTTCACATTTACTTTACTTTATTTTACATTTTGAACGTACAAAAAATGTATTTATTATTATTATTATCATATGAATAAGTAAAGTTTTTGTTCTTATTTTTAGATTTTATATAAGTAATGTGGAAAATTAATACCCTCTCAGCTTCGCATCGAAAGAAAATTTATATAAATTTACTAATTTACTAGATGTAAAGAAAAATTACAAACCAAAATAAGTTCGTTTGCTTATCCTGTTTTTAATTTTGAAAAATAAATATGACTTTTGGAATTCTCAAAATAAAAATAACAAATTAAGTAGTATCACATAAATTTTATTTCTACTGGATTACAACAATATGATATATTCACAAATGTAATAATAAAAATACTATTTATTAAAAATATTTATTAATATTTTTTATAAAATAATTATAACAGATAGTTATTACCATTCAGCAAGTATCGCTTTTCGATTTAGTTACACAAAGCTATATAGACTTTTTCATCCTCTCAATTACAACCTTTAAGATACTTACTTGTCAGGACTTAACATATCAATCATATAAAAATCGACTTTTACCACATAACGCATTTTTTGGACGGATTCATAGGACTGTCGGATGGGCATTTCCATACAGCTGAAAAATCTGGATTGTTTCTTAATGATCCGATCACACGGATGTTATTTGGACTATGATCATCGTGAACTTGTAACTCATAATATTTAGCGTTAGTTTTATGACACCAAACCTAAACAATATACAAATAAATTGTACTACTAATGAAAACGTTTTAAGTTGACATATAATTGTTATTATTAGTAAAATTGATTTTTTTTTTGTGGATTTCGGATATCTCTTTAAGTGTTGGTTTTTCGATATTTTTCTGTCTTAGAGTCAATTTGAAGGAATAAAAAGTCAACGACAAAGAACATACGATTGTTATTTTATTTAAAGTTTAAATAAAATAAATTTAAGATTTAATTTTCATTGATCCAGTTATAGTTTCTAGATTTTATATACAGTTTGGTTTAGTATCAATTAGACCACCAAAAGAGTTGAAAAATTTATGGAATTCTAAATATAGTTTTGGATTATCACCATTATTAGTACTACTTATGAATTTCTTCAAAGTAATTCAAAATTTTTTCTTGTTATATTGAAGTCAACATTCATATTATCATTCAATAATTAAAATTCGATTCGAATAACAATAATTTTATTCAATGAATTCATTAATTAATTTAATATTTTAAATACATGTTATGATTTAGCCTTCAAGTCTTTATTTTTATGTATTTTAATACAAATAATTATTGAGCACGTAAATCTTACATTAGCATACGCTAAAAAAAACTGTTGATCATTAGTAAATCCCTTAAGCCCAGGAAGTCTTTCTTTATTTTCTGATTGAAAAATCTTGTATGCTAACCATGCTTGCTTTAAACCAATTGTATCTGCCATATTTTCAGCTAGTGTTTGTGAACCATTGAGCTGAAATCAAGTTAAAACACTAAAAAATAGTTCTGTCTTATAAATTATAATTATTATACCCGAATATCTTTAGATATAGAAAATTTGTCATATTCTTTTATAAAACATTGTGCTCTTTTGAGATATTCTCTAAATGTTTGCTGACCCCACCACATAGTTTTTTTACCATTAATATCGTAATTTTTACCTGAAATAAAAATGTATGTATATTTAATTATAATATATTTAATATTTATTTTTATGTATACAATTTATGTATTTATTATATAAAATAATAATTTGAGAAAGTTACATATACAGGCACTAGGAAGTAAACTGTAAAATATTACCTTCAATATCAAATCCGTGAGTCATTTCATGTCCTAAAATTGAACCAATCGCTCCATAATTAATTACACTATAAGGTAAATTCCAAAAAATAAATTTAATTATATTAATTCTTGGTAACTAAAAGTTTCAAACAATAGCTTGGAAAGCTTTTATTTTTAATTAATGAACAACTAATTAAAATTTGATATATAGATTGATAATAAACCATTCGATTATTCATAATCGAACATGTATTTTTGATTTATTAGCTATTAACTACTTTAGAATTGTTATTTTAGAGATGGTTTTAAATATAACTATAAAGCNTATTAGCTATTAACTACTTTAGAATTGTTATTTTAGAGATGATAATTCCAAAAATATACTTTACTAAAAAAATCAACAATATTTTATTTATTTTGTGAGTAATTGACTAGTTTATGATAGACCGTTTACTCTGTATAATTTTAAGCTGAATAAATGATAATTAAAAATTGTTTTTTAATGGAAAGTATATTAGAAAATTTTTAAAATGTACTTTTATATCCTAATAAAACTATTAAGCATTACTTATATTTACTAAACTTTCCACTCTAATTTCGTATATCGATGATAAACTTACTCTACTCCTTTGTAATAAAATGGCATTTGTAAAATTCCAGCTGGAATAGCTGCATGAAAAAATAGTTTAGATAATCTAAATATTTGCTGATAAAATATCACCATAAGTATGTAATATCTTACTGATGGAATTATAAAGTCTGCTATAAAATGCATTAACCTCCAAAGGTTCCGTTAGTGATCTAATTACAAAAATAAAAATTGTTACAATAAATATTTGTGTATAAATTACTAAAAGAGCAATTAATTAAAACATTAAAAATATTAAAAACTTACGAATGTATTTCACTATTGTTAATTGGTTTTCCAATAGCTTCCAAAATTTTTCCTACCTCAAAAGATTTGATGTTTAGCATACTTTGGAGATACTGGTCTTCTTGAATATCAATCTAAATATGATTATAAGTTATACTCATTTTCTATTTGACATCAAGTTTAGGTTAAAAGTTCTTACGTGATCATATAGCATATTAAGTTTTGATGGTGATTTAAATATTTCTGGATACCCTATTTCAGCTTTGATAGCATCTACTTTTTTAGATATAACTATTTTAGTAGCGTAATCCGTCCAATTTGATGCCTTAATCATGTTTTTAAATGATCTTTGTAACTGTTCAAGCATTTTACGAACCTACGTTATAAAAATTAAAAATAAATGATATGGAAATAAAAAAAAAATTAATAAAAACTACTTTAGTCGTTGATTCTTGCATATCATCTCGAGTATAAAATTTATAAGCAATAGGTAGATTGAAAAATGTTTTGGTAACCTCTGTACATGTAGTCGATCTAAAAAATCGAGGAATAAAAAAGTTTTGTGCATGAATTTTCTTGAAGTATTACTAGGCTGTTTTAAATGTAGATAGTTGTTGGATGAGGATAAGGATGCAGTATCGTTTGGTTTGGCAGCACTGTCAGTTTGGTCACTAGTAAGGCATCTGTCATCTTAACCACCTCTATTTCCGTTTAAGTTAATATTCGGCTACACAGCAATAGATGTAAATTTCTGTTAATTTTTTTTTCTTTTCTCTAATGCCGTCGCAATATTACGGTCCTGATGCTGCCCTTCAGCAAATATTTGACGTGTGCATAATTCTGTTGTCCTACGTTTCTTCATTATATTTTGGTTCTTGTTGTTTTGCCGTTTGTCAATCATCGTCGTGAAATATTTGCTGAAGGGTAAACAAGGCCATTATATGGAAGCGAAGCTAGAAAAAAGCAAAAATATTGACTAGAACTTAATATAGGTGGTCAAGACAACCGAGCGCCTGAAAAAATATTAAGCTTTATTTTTTCTAGGAGTTCCATATTTTTCTCAAATTTGTGTATTATTTTTTCATGATCATTTCTTACACCTTATTGAAATATCAAATTTCAAAAAGAAACTTCTTTAATAAATCTATTAATTAAATAGATTTAATTAAGAAAATTATTTGTTGATAGTAACTTTTAAACCGATATTTCAGATCAAAAGTTAAAGAAATACTAGTCAAAAAGTTACTATCGGCCAGTTGTCTTTTAATTAGATTATCTATTAAATAATATATTTTATCATTTATGTTGCTATGCGAAAAAATAAAGTTGACACTTTTATAAAATATAAGGAATGAACATTTAAAATACTTCATAATTGATAAATTGATAAAAACATTGAACTAAACAAAATCCAAATAAAATATTCTTAATATATTATTTTAG